ATGACATATGATCTGGGCTTTGAAGAATGAGCACCAAGGAAGAGATCCCCAAAGGGGATGGAGCAGAGTCTCAGAGGGAACCACCTGAGTAAAGGTGTAGCCTGGGAAAATACTGTGGGTGTGAATGGAATGAATGCCTCAGGTTGGCTGCATCGTGGGAAGCAGAGGGAAATAAAATGGAAATGTCGGCCAGCCTTGATGCTGTGTTCTGTGTTCTTCCCATTGTGCTCTTAAGTTCCCTGCTATAGGCACGAGGCAGCTGAAAACGAAATAAGAGGTGTTTCCAACCCATGTGGAAAAACAGAACCTGCCAGCCCTGAGTGACTCGTCCTCATCAGCAGGGATGTCCCGGAGCAGCCAGGCACTCTGGGGGGCGGAAGTGGGAGGACCAGGTAAAGGCTAAGTTAACAAGTATGGTAGGGTTAGTCTGATATGGTAGTTCTGCCTGGGAGAAGTGTAGGAGCAGATTCCTTCTGCAAATTCCACTTAGTATGGGGATCCTCTCCTCTGGACCTCTAATGGGAGTGTGCGGTCCACCAAGGTCAAATGTGTTCAGATGGACAAGGGACATGCTTTTAAAATTGGATACTTTCCCAGAAAAGACACAACATACAATACAATGCAAAGGGACCTGCCCTTGGCAATTATATCACTGCTACCTTACCAAGGGTTGGTTTCTTCCTGGTTAATCTAAAATAAACATCTAGAATAGAAATATGCTCTCTGGGTTCTGATAAGGATCCAAGATAAGAAGGAAGACAGGAGCCATGACTTGTGCCTTGGCTCAGCCTGCCATGTAAGAACGGCCAAAATAACCCTTCTCAAGCAGAACTTAGATCAAGTCACTACCAGCTCAGATCCTTTCACAGTCCCCACACCTGATGGAACTCAGTCCCCGCCTGACTCCCCGAATGCACCTGCTCCTGGTCTACCAGGCTCTAGCCATGGGGCGCTCACTGAACACATCAAGACCCTCCCCATCTCAGGCCTTTGCACTTGCTCTTGCTTCGCTTCTATCCACAGACTTTTGTATGACCTTCTTGCCATCCTCCAGGCCCAACTCCGATGTGTCTACCTCAGAGGTCTTCCCTGCCCACCTTAATTAAACATGGCCATGGTATAATTTCTTCATAAGGCCCATAACTCCCCTGAAATCATGTTATTTATTTCTTAAGTGTAGATGTATTGGACTGGCCAAAAAGTTCATTCTGGTTTTTCTGTAAGATACTACAGAAAATTTATTATTTCCTCTTGTTTCCTAGGAGGACGCAAGCTATAAGGGAGAAAACCCCGTGTGGGCATGGCTATGCTCTGCGAGCTCTCTGGCTGGAAGATGGCCGGGGCATGAGAGTTTGTTGCTATGCCCACACTGGATCTGTGTAGACTGAGTTGTCCACATATGGGGTGTTCTTGGTGATTCCCATCCTCTTCCACTGGATTAAGCCTCACAAAGACCTTGAGGTGCAGTGAGAGTAGGACCCTGTCCTATAGCCCATGAACTTTGAGGTTGGTCAGTGCCTCAGGCCAGATTCTGGACTCTCTCTCCAGAGGGTTGGGCATCTGGGCTTCCTTTAGAATTGCTCTTTTGGACTTTCATTAGAATAACAGTAGCATGATGGAATGATCTGGTAGAAAGTTGGGTAGAACTAGAGGGAAAGAGGTGAACAAGAAAGATTTCTGTGAGCTAGAGGGATGGGTAACATTATCTCCCAAACCAGGAGACCTCTAGGAGATAGAGGAGGGTGTCCTTGACCTCACCTTGCCATGAGTGCATTGAGTGCAGAGCATGGCCTGCCTCCTCTAGGAAGCCTTCAGCTGCTCCTCTGGACTGGTTTATGTCCTCTTTTATCTCTACTACAATGGCTTCCAAATAACTCCACTAAGACACTCATCATATAGTGCTGAAGCCGTTTGTATAGTCTGCTACCTCCTCTAGGTTCTGAGGACTTACAGAATGGAAACAATTCCATACTTAAATCTGGATCCTCAGTGCCTAGAACACAGTGGGTGCTCACTGACTGTGGGGTGAATGTATTTTGGGATGTGCCTGGTGAATTCTCTGTTTCTATGCTGCTCTTGAGGTGAACTTTCCATGCAAATAGCCACTCATCATTGTGCATCCAAGGCCACACCCTGACAGTGGCCCATGCTCTATGAGGATACATTCCAAACAGCTTCACAACAAAAGGAGGAGTCAAGAGGCAAATCTGGGACTTGCATCATGAAGATACCATTCTACTTATACCCTTTCTCAAAGACAAACAGGCATGTCTATAAATGTGAAAGATCGCCACACGCCTTTGACTATGTACGCCGACATGCATAGTCAGCAACTATGCATGTGGGGGGTTAGGGGTGTGTGTGTGCACGTGCAAATGTGTGCATGTGCAGGCACATATGCACATGCACATCTTTGTGCTAGAGAGTGAAGACACTGTAGCATATGTATCTCCCTCCGCTTAGCCTCCCATAAACTTCTGTTTGGACTAGTCATTCAACAATATTTATTGTGTTTAACTCCACATGCATTTGAGCTGGCTAGTAGGTAACCATGGAAAACTTTGTTCCTGAAGACTGCTACTTAATCTTCCCCAAAGCAAAAAGTCCATCAGTCATAGGTCTCCTCCATGACACAGTATGACTTCAGTTCCTGGAACAGTTGCTGGACTGAACATAATCTTAGTATGTACTGGTCTTTGGGGAGGGCATCCGTGGCTCTGCCCTCCAGGGTCAGACACTGGTGTTAACAAATCATATGTGCAAATATCTCAAGAACAAAGAAGAACATTCTACACTTTCTAATAGATGTAGGAAAAGCTATAGAAGTAAGAGAGAGTCGTTTCTTTAGACAAAACATGTGTCTTGAGGATGAAAAAGGCTTCATGAAGAAGATACCACTTGACTTTTTTGCTTCAAAGATATTTTTTAATACTCTATGGGAAGCTTAAAATATTAGAAGCTACTCATTTAATATGGATATATGGTTGACTTCTCAACTTCTGGGCTTGGAAAGGCTTCATTTCTAAGAGTGCTAACTTGCTTCTCAGGTTAGTTTTGACTTCCATGCTGACAGTACTTTCATGCTTTCTTTGCCACTCTTAACTCTGGGTTCTACTGTCTCTGAGAATCATCGATCACATTCGTGTTGTAGCCTCTAAAATTTCCACCACTTACCTCCTTCTCCAGCATGGACCACAGTCTGAACTATTTCACCCCAAGGTTTCCATCACTAATAATGCATTCTTGTTGGCCCCCACGAGGTCTTCAGCCCTAGGTCAGCCCTACACTACAAACCTGCTGCTCTTCCCTCTGGGCCCACAGAGGTGATGGGAGATACACAGGTGCAGCCCTGACTCCCTCCATCCATTCATCCTAACTCACCACAGTTCTACTCTTCTCTCTGGACCTGATTGTTGGGGCCTTCCCATCTCCTCAGAGAGCCTTATTCCTCTGTCCATAGCTTGATTCTCAGTAGAAAACTAGGATTCTATATTATTATAAAGACCGAGCTCCCCTTTGTTTCACTTTTATTTTCTCTAAGTAGACTCTAAGCAGCTTGAAAACCTGAATTTTACACTGTTCCATTCTTGTTGGTATCCAGTCCTGTGCTTATCTACGTGATAGATGCTCAGCAAACACCTTGGGAATGCATCTTATTTGTATGTACTTCCTTCAATGCCCAGCAAAGGTCTCTGCACACACAGAGAATACCCTGCATATTTGGGGTGACCAGCTGAGGGTGTGTATGTGTGTGTGTGTGTGTGTAACACAAAATATAGAGAGACCCACCCTCATGGAACCTTGGTATGACTCAGAACTTCAAATACAAATTTTGATCTCTCTACCTAGAAGCAAATATGAGACCTGATTGTCTGGGTTCCACACACCCACTTGCCAGTATCATCCCAGTTGAAGGGTGTGCATGGAAAATGAAGAGGAGGCAGGGAGGGGGGTCCTCCACTGACTCCATTTGTGCAGGCCCCACCTCACTGCCGAGAGCAGAAAGAAGTTGGCAAGAGAAAAGAAGGTGGGGTTCGGGAACTGAGGCTCCTGGGACCTCACTCAGGACCTTCTCTTCCATGATCTGTGGCATTGCCTTGTCTCAGCCCCAGAAGTGTTGAGGGGCCAGGCCCCAGCCCCTTTGACTGATTCTTTGCCACCTAAAATAGTGTTGTATTTTAAACTGATTACTTAATGCATTTCTCTTTAGGTTTGTTAAGAACCAAGGAGCCAGCCTACATTTTAATATTGCAAGGATGCATTTTACATAGAGCTAAGTAGTAATGTGTTTATAGATTTCCTTGTATCTATAGCTAAAATATGTTAGGTCAACTTTAGAACACACCACATTGCATTTGAAATGTAATCTTTTTGAAATCTGCATATAATTGGACAGTCTTATGGCCTGGTATAAGGGAGCTATCACATTCAAAAAGGTACCTCAGAAAACAATTAAATTTTAATTTAATTTAGATCACTAGAAGAGTACAAAGGAAAGTTTCCATTAACACTCAGCACAAAATTTCTTAAAATTATATGTCTTACTACCCTGTCTAGATATAGACAGCTATCAAGATAGATGCATATATCATTGGCAGAAAACATCCTCTTCCAAAACAAAATCTCTCTCCTTGCTTTCTTAAATTGCATAGAAACAATACCAACACCAGGCACTCAATGTGGTATATTCCTCATTTCCCTTCCACTTTCTTTTAAGACTCAGTTCTTTAATACAAAGTTCAATTTAGGCTTCCTGTTTCCTTCAGTTTAGTTTTAGTTTGTCTCAGTTGCCCATTTCCTTAATTCTGGACAAAATAGAACGATAGGTAAGAGCTCTCCATTTGGAGAGACAAGATGTTATAAAGCCACTTATCATATTTTCCTTAAGTCTTCATCAAATCTAAACCTAGCAAGAGGATATGTGGTTCTCCAAATGCTACCAAGGAAATAGAGACCTCCAGCTCAACTGATGCCTCTCAGATCAGAGAAGGTATGAGCAGATGCAGCATCCTATAGATCCAGAATTTTCAGGCCAGCTGATGTCCTTCTACCCAGTCATGAGAGCTCAGCATGGGGAGGGGTGCCTCATTCATGCTTTTCAAGATGAGATGTACTATCTGGCTGGCAGCCCTGAAGCTGGGGTGAAGGGAGAGGTACTTCGAGGAAGAGGAAGGAGGACCCTGTCTGCCTCCGACCCCTCCGCCACCCAGCTGCACACACAAGGTAAACACACACATGCCCCTGGCCTCTGGCTTAAACTCGTCTGGTGCCCTTTAGAGGGGACTTCTTGGAGGTTTGGAAATGGAGCAGGAATGGAGCAGGGCCAGGCGAAATGACGACCGTCCTTTTCCTGCGTGACAAAACATAAAACCAAAGATCCAGGGGTCGCACTGGGAGACTGTGATCTCACCAGATGCATTTCTCAAGTTCTTTTTATCTGTCTGGAACCCACTTAGAACCGTAGGCTGTTCCTCGCAAACCCGTGTGCCTGTATTGCAGGGAGAGAGGAAACAGCCATGACCATCCGGAGGGGAAAGGTTATGGGAAGGCAGAGAGCTCACATGGCTCCATCCTCCATGCTCAGAGTGTGAGCTGTGCCTCTGACTTAACCACTTACCAGTGCCAGGTGAGCGTCAGGGATTCCCGTCAGAACGGCTGTGTGAGCCAAGACTTTGCAATGAGAAACAGCAGGTTGTCTGCCAGCAACTGTAAGCAGGTCCTTGTAGATGGGGCAGAAGCATGAACCAGGGATGGTGAGATAAAGCTAGAGAGATAGAACTTAGGCTTTAGGATGTAGGTAGGGGGATGGGGGCCCCTTGAGGGATTTTCCGTAGGAGAATGATGTGGGCTAAATTATATTTGAAAAATGTTTATTTACGGAATTTGCTCGTGGTCCAGTGGTTAGGGCTCCACCCTTCCATTGCAGGGGACACGCGTTTGATCCCTGCTCAGGGAACTAAGATACCACAAGCCACGTGGCGTGGCCAAAAAATAAAGAAATAAAAAAATAAAATCTGTTAAATGTAGTTTCAGACATACGGAAAAGTGTGAAGAACAGTACATAGAATTTCTGGATATCCTTCTTGCAGATTCACCCAGATCTTAAATGTTTCTCTCTCTCTCTACTTACATATAGAGATAGATAAATATTATTTCAGAAAAAGAAAACAAGACAGGTATAGAGAGATATATAGATAGATATGTATATATGTATATCTATGTCTATGTATGCATAAATAGAAGGCTGGAGTATACATACATATATATATTTATAGTTGTTCAGTCGCTAAGTTGTATCAGACTCTTTGTGACCCCATGGACTGCAGCACGGCAGGCTTCCCTGTCCTTCACTATCTCCCAGAGTTTTCTCAAACTCATGTCCATTGTGTCATTGATGCCACCCAATCGTCTCATCCTCTGTTGCTCCCTTCTCCTTCTGCCTTCAATCTATATATCTATCTCTTTCTCTCTTTCTCTCTCTCTCTATATATATATAGGTACATACATGAATATGCCTATAATCTGTATTTATTTATCTATGTTTTATTTTCTCTTTCCTGAATATTTTGAGAGTAACTTGCAGATGTGATGCCCCTTTGCCCCTAAATAACCTTAGTGTATATTTCCTTAAGACAAGAAATTCTCTTCCATACTTACCTTTTAAAATTATTATTTTGGCTTCTGTGTAGAAAATGGTTTGCATCTAGACAAACATAGATAGGGAAATGGGTTAAGCAATCTCTTTGGCAGTCAAGACAAGAGCTGATGAAGGTCAGACCAGGGGAGAGCCCTCTTCAAATCACAAATGTTTTCTGTGGTGATAGATGTAGATCATTACACATCCAGGTGGTAGACCAGTCCCATCCAGGGAATGGTCAATGGTGGGATATAGTTAAAGGTGGTACTCCTGGGTGCAAGGTAGCTGGTGTGCTGTGCATGCAAATAGGGAAGGATGACAAGTTCTTTTCTGAGCATTTTGAGATACTAAGGAAACAACAGGATGTGCCATGGACTGGAAGCATAAGGTAGATGCCTAGGTTGGAAATACAGACTTACAAGTCATTAGTAGCGTTAGTAGAAAGGTGGTTATTAGAAGCACAGGAGTGAGTGAGATCACCAAGGGAGAAGAGGAGCCTGCAGGCAGATGCCTGTGGAAACTCCAGTATTTAGGGACCTCATTCCATATCGTGGGGCCATTGCAGAATGAGATTAAGCCTTAGTTCCCTGGGGCAGTTAACTATCCCAGGACAGTGAAACCATTGATTCTGGGCATGGAGAAGCCAGGTGGCTAAGGAGCCAACGATGGGGGGCTTGGAGGTAACTTACTCACTTCTTAAAACTGGGGGCTTTCTAAGAGTCAGGAAGGGGAGAGGTGATTTGAAGGGGTTAATCCCTTTGATCTGAAAGGCTGGTTAAAGGCAAGAGAATAGTTTCTATTTTAATGATGTGACAGTGCAGGCCACAGCCTGTCTCGCAAGGAGAGGGGCAGGCCAAGAGGGGCAAGCCAGAGCCTCGCACTGTGACCAAGAGAGTCTGCGAGAAGACGCTTGGGGTGTGGGTGTTGCACAAGCCTGGTCCTGCCACCACTGCAAAGGCCCGGCTTTTAGGGGATAGTGGGGAGGGCCATTCGGGAAGGGAGGAGAATTTCCTAAGATTTTTTTACATCAGCCAAAGGTCTGTTTTCTTTGTATGATGTGTTACTTTTCATTTGGTTTGGTTTTTGATCAGGTACCTGGAGTTCAAGTCCTCTCCCTGGCATTTGATAAATTGTGACCTCACACAGGTCACTTCCCTGTTCTATTTCAGCTTTTCTATTGTTTATTAGTGATAAGACTCAATGGTATAAGGTCAGATACTGAAAAACTTCTAGAAGAAAACATAAGCAGAACACTCCCTGACATAAATCAAAGCAAGATCTTTTAGATCTGTCTACTAGAGAAATGGAAATAAAAACAAAAATAAACAAATGAGACCAACTCAAAAGCTTTTGAACAGCAAAGGAAACCATAAACAAAATGAAAAGACAACCTACAGAGTGGGAGAAAATATTTGCAAATGATGTGACCAAAAAAAGGATTAATTTCCAAAATATACAAACAGCACATAAACTCAATATCAAAAAAAACTCAATCAAAAAATGGGCAAAAGATGTAAATAGACATTTCTCCAAAGAAGACATACAGCTGGCCAACTGGCACCTGAAGAAATGCTCAACATTGCTAGTTATTAGAGAAATGCAAACCAGAACTACAATGAGGTATTGTCTCACACAGGTCAGATGGCCATCATCAAAAAATCTGTAAATGATAAATGCTGGAGAGGATGTAGAGAAAAGGGAACCCTCCTACACTGTTGGTGGGGGTGTAAATTGGTACAGCCACTATAGAGAACAGTATGGGAGTTCCTTAAAAAACTAAAAATACAGTTACCATATGATCCCGCAATCCTACTCCTGGGCATATACCTGGAAAAAACCATACCTCGAAAAGATGTGTGAACCCCAGTGTTCATTGCAGCACTATTTACAATAGCCAAGACCTGGAAGCACCCTAAGTATCCATTCACAGATGAGTGGCTAAAGAAGATATGTTACGTAAATACAATGGTATATTACTCAGACATAAAAAGGAATGAAACTGGGTCATTTGTAGAGATGTGGATGGACCTAGAGATTATCATACTGAGCAAGTAAGCCAGATAAAGACAAACATCATGCTATATCCCTTATATGTGAAATATATATTAAGAAAGATACAAATCAACTTGTTTAAAAAACAAAAACAGATCCACAGGCATAGAAAACTAAACTTATGATTTCCATTTGGGAAACTGGGGAGAAGGGATACATTAGGAGTTTGGCATTAACACATACACACTCTTATGAAATAAATAACCAATAAGGACCTACTTGCACAGGAGAACTGTAATCAATATTTCAAAGAACCTGAAAGAGGAAGGAATCTGAAAAAAGTATGCACATTTAAAAACATTCATATATGTGTGTGTGTGTATATATATATATATCTGAATCACTGTGCCGTATACCTGAAACTAATCATGACATTGTAAATCAACTATACTTCAGTAAATTAAAAGGGAAGAAAAGAAAGTCAGAAAAAAAAAAAAAAAGACTGGATGGACCCACATCAACAGTGCCCAGGCTTTTGGATTTCACTAAAAACTAAAATTACATTAAAAAAAAATGCATTCAGTAAGGAAGGCAAGCATTTTATTTTTCCAAGTAAAAGTAAAGGCCTCTTATGGTTGCCATCACTTTAATACATAAAGGTAATTTTAAAATTAATAACTCTGGAAAGAGTATAGCCTCAAAAAGCAAACAAAAAAGAAGACCTTGCAAAGAAATAGAAGTCAACAACCTTATACCAACCTCTGCAAAATATAGTAATAATGATCATTTCTCGGTGACTTGTTGAGAGTGATATCATGTGTTGGCACAGTCTTTGAACCAGGAATTGGGGGTGTTTTGTCTGATTCCTGGGCTCCTTCCAGTCCTGGCACCCGCTAGTCTAGAGTGCTTGCTTGTTCCCTGACCAAGCCCCGCCACCAGGAAGGAGCATGGAAGCTCTGGGACCTAGAGCTTCCTTGCTTTGCTTTCTGGGCTTCTTTTGAGTGCTCAGCACAAACCTGGCTCCCAGCAGGTGAAGGCTCCTTGGTGATCCCCTCATCACTCCCTCCTCTACTTCTGCCCTCGGAGTAGACTCACTCACATCAGTGCGCACACAACAGGCATGGGTGCTGTTTGTGTACAGCACACATACGACACAGTGGCTACATGCTGTTGACATGCAGTGCACAGACAATGTACAACAGCGCATACTGAGTACATATTACACAGCAGTGTGTACACAGGGGATGGTAACCACAGCTCGCTGCGGGGCCTGCTGCACCAGACACAACAGGCATGAACAGGCATCGTGTCCCCCTCTTCCCTCGCCCCAGGCCCAATCTGTGCACTGCCCGCTTTTGTCACTTAGAAGCAGAAGGCTCCCCTTGCCTCCTCCTTCTGTCTCCCTCCATCCTCTTAGTCCTCCAGTCCCGTGGATTTTTTATTCATAAACCATTTTTAGCTATGTCCCTCTTTTGGCTCTCATCTGCTATGGGAAAATCACACTGCTTACACCTGGAAAGGGTCTTAGGGATTATCATGTTCTACAGAGTGAAAAATCTGAGCCCCAGAGAGGGGAAGCCAGTTGTCCAAAAGCACACAGTTAATTATTGTCAGAGCCAGAGATACACTCAGGCCTTCTGTATACAAGCCATTGCCTATCTGCCTCTCTAAGCGAACCAATAGAATTTTTTTAAGGTACAGCATCTGATAAGGAGGTACCTCTGCAGTATTTACAATCAAAGCTTAGGTCTCCTTGTTGCGCCTTCCACTCTGTAATTTCAGCTCTCTTGGCCTCAGCTCTTCGGCTCTCCTGACTATTCCACCTTCCTTGGGGTATGGCCCCACTTCACTGCCCACGGCTCCCTAGCACTGACCATCCACTCTAGCCAAGTTGGTCTCTTTGTCCCTCAAACACACATAGCATCTTCCCACCTTCCACATGGTTTCTCAGTCCATATCCCCTTGCCTGGAATGTCCTCATTCATTTCACAAAAATGTAGTTAGCTCTGAATCTGAGCTGGAAATTTTACTAGGTACCAGGAAACAAAGATGAAGTCGGTGTTTCCGCCCTGGAGGAGTTCATTGTCAAGGAGATTTACCTGTCCGCCCTGATGCTTCATGCCATCGCTGACCCAGCCCAAAGGGGTGACCACTCCTCTGAGTCCTGAGCCTCTTTTGTTCCATAGCATCCCTCCTGACTCATGATGTCTACCTCCCAGATCCAGTGCTTCTGTCACATTGGGGTGGATTTGTCTCTCTCCATGGAGATCATCTGTTCCTTGAGGGCTGGGCTTGTATGCTGAGTTCCCCAGCCCCGGTATGGCATCTGCTTCCTGTACATTAGATGACTGACTAGATCGCTGGAGAACTCAGCCCCTTGGCCTTCTTTGCATCTAGGTCCTGGTCTTTCTCTGGGAGGATGTGCTACCACGTGCCTAGAACTAGAAATCAAGCAATCAAGTGAGCAAGTGTCTATCTGCAAAACAAAGACGTCCTGGAGAGTAAAGTCCCCTACCTACCTCCTTCCTCTGGTGTACACCTCTCATCCCTGCTACCTCACCAGCATGTTCATGTTCATGCAAGTAAAATGAGGATGGGACGAACACCAAGGGATACTGGAAGGGGGACAGTGTGCTCAAGAGCCATATGGAGCCTTAGGGTATGGGAGCCATGCAAAGGATGCAGGGTTGTATGCCTGCTAGACATGACCAACAGTAAGTAGTGAGTTATGTACATGTGTTTTGGAAATTGGTTGAAAATGCCACCTCCTATCCCATCACCTTTCCTGAGAACTGGTTTTATGCCCCACAAACACCCAGTGCTAGAGTATGTGAGAGACTCACATATGTATATGTGAGTGTGTGTGTGTGTGTGTGTGTGTGAGCCTGTGTCCACGAGAGACAGAGGCTTGGCGAAAGAAAGAATGATACTAATGAAAGTCAGTGAATAATACCATTCCAAATGCTCAGGATAAGCATTTAGTTTTATGTCTCTTCTGGATTACCCATTCCTTCTGCAATACTATGTAATGCATTCTTGAGATAGCGGACTCCAGCACAAAAAAATCTGATCTGGTTAGTGGGGGCCCAATATGGGAAAATATTGACCCGGATATAACGCCCCAAACTCATGGGTTAGACGATGTTCACAGTTTCTCTAGTTATGCAGCCATTGTTACTGTAACACTTGAATTTGAGTTATTCAGCTAACCCAAATCAAACAATTGAAAAATACTAAAGAGTTGGAAGGAGAAGGGGGAGAACAGAATGTGAAGCAGGGTAGCGACCAGCAAGGGTGTGGTTTTCCTTATTCACCACCATTTCCAACACAGGGGTAGCACCCAGTACATGGTGTGAGCATCCTACTTCTTGATGAATTAATGGTTATCCTGGGGTAGACACCCCACATGACCTTTCTTCTCTGCTCCTAGAGACCTGAGCTGAAATCCCTCTCCAAGGCTATCTGGGGTTGCTTCCATCGGAATGACACCAGGCAGAAGAGATTCTTCTCCTGGGAAGACCTGGATTCTTCAGAGTCTCCCTAGTGCCTCACCCAAGCATAGCCCACCCTCTCAGTGAGTCCCAGGGTGAGAAACCATTGATTTCCAAGCCTGTGTTAGATTTCCTTGTAGTATTGCAATGTGACTTCCCAAGACTTAGGGATATTCTAAGACTTTCATCAAAACTGTGGCTAAATTCCAAGTCTGAGACAAGAAATGTACCATCCTCAGGACTAGCTTGCCTATTTTCATTCCTTTCAGTTAAGGCCTTATGACACTGGTAGCAAGTGCCATTACTTGCCTTCAAATGTTGTAACAGCCTACTCCTTACTTCTGAGAGTATATTTTGTCCTAGTCTTCATAGCCTTACTCAATGAAGTGTTCAACTATGGCCAATTAATCCATGACAAAGAAGGCAAGACTATAAAATATAGGAAAGACAGTCCCTTCAAAACATGGTGCTGGGAAAACTGGACAGATACATGTGAAAAAATGAAATTAGAATATTCTTTAACACCATACACAAAAATCAACTTAAAATGGATTAAAGGCTTAAATGTAACTGGATACTATAAAACTCTTAGAGGAAAATATAGGCAGACACTCTCTGACAGAAATCACAGCAAGATTTTTTTTGATCTACCTCAAAAAGGATGGAAATAAAAACAAAAATAAATAAATGAGACCTAACTAAACTCAAAATCCTTTGCACAGCAAAAGAAACCATAAACAAAATCAGAAGACAACCCACAAAATTGGATAAAATATTTTCAAATGATGTGACCAACAAGGGATTAATCACCAAAATGAACAGCTCATGGAGCTCAATATCAAAACAAAGAGCATGGTTAAAAAATGTGCAGAAGACCTAAAAGGATGTTTCTCCAAAGAAGGCATACAGATGGCCAAGAGACACATGAAAAGATGTGCAGCATCTCTAACTATTAGAAAAATGCAAATCAAAACTACAATGAGATATTAACCTCATACCAGTCAGAATGGCCATCATCAAAAAATCTGCAAACAGTAAATGCTGGAGAGGGTGTGGAGAAAACGCAACCCTCCTACACTGCTGGTGGGAATGTAAATTGGTACAGACACTATGCAGGACAGTATAGGGGTTCAATAAAAAACTAAAAATAGAACTACCATTAGGATACAACAGTCTCACTCTTGGGCATGTATGTCCAGGAAAAAAAAAAAACATAGTTCAAAATGATACATGCACCACCATGTTCATTGTGGCACTGTTTGCAATGGCCAAGATGTGGGAGCAACCTAAATGTCCATCAACAGATGAGTGAGTAAAGAAGATGTGGCACATACAATGTATATATATATATATATATATATATATACAATATATACATATATATATATATATATATACAATATATACATATATACAATGGAATATTACTCAGTCACTGAAAAGAATGAATAATGCCATTTGCAGTAACAGAGGTGGACCTGGAAGTTATCATACTAAGTGAAGTAAATTAGAGAAACTATAACACTTATATGCAGAATCTAAAAAAGATGACACAAATGAACTTACTTACTAAACAGAAACACTCACAGACTTAGAAAATAAACTTATGGCTACCAGAGGGAAAGGATGGGGTGGGGGAAGGGATAGATTGGGAGTTTGAGATTGACAAGTACACACCTCTATATTTAAAATAAAATACATTTTCATTTAAAAAAAGCAAATAAAAAGAGGATGGAGTTATCCTCTTTAGCAGGTGAGGAAAGTGAGGCTCAAAGATACTAAGTGCCCAAGGTCATCCAACTAGTGAAGATCAGAGCTCCAGTCTGAACACTTTTTGGGGGGGATTTTTTAAAGATATGTTCCATCCTTTGTCAGATATGAGAATCATCCGTATTTGTGCCCTGTGTCATCCCTCTTCATCCTGGAATCTCTAACTGGGATGGGAAAGAAGAATCAGACTAAAGCCCTAGGAGCTTAGAATTCAGGACCCAGCCCAGGAGGCTCCTCCAGCAGCTCATTCCAAATCAATGCTTCTCAGCTACCCCACCTTCTCTACCTTATGATAATCATTTTCCTGAGAACCCTGAGAACCCTTTTATACATATGTAAAAAGATAAAGAGATAGATGCTGTCTATTGTTACCACCTAGTTTCTCATAATGAAGCCTAATGGTTTTCTCTGTGGTGGGTAGGCCAGAGCTGAAGCCCCCATTTTTTCCCTTGTATTACCACAGGTGAAAAACCAAAGCCACTTGCCCTGTTTTCTCACCAGTTCAGGCTGAATGTGGTTCTGAGCCCAGGTTAAGTCAAGTTCAGAACTATAATGAGTTTAATGAATTTCCCAGAGAGCCGCTCACCCCTCAGTTGTCACTTTCCTAATGCTCTTCTGTGTACCCTGCCTGGCCCACCCCTCACCCCATCAACCGGAACATCTTGGAACACTGCCCTCACACCCCCTCACACCCAGCACTGTCCTAAATGCTTCCTTGGGACCATCCCAGATGCCAAGGTTCTAAATCAAAAGTCACGAGTGGGTTTGAAAATCCGAGGCAGCCAGGCCTTGTAAAGTGATGGAGAGGTGGGGCAGGGGCCGGAGTGATGGTACTGTCATCCCCAAGTCCCGCCAAACCAAGAGGGAAGTTGCCAGCCTAGGAGGTGACTAAAACCTGGAATTTGAGGAAGGTACATTCTACTGTGACTAGGGCCTAATTAGGACGCCCCAATCCTAGGCCACCTCATGGCCTCAGACAGGGATTCGAGATGTATAAAAGGTGGACAGGCTCAGAGCATCCCACAGCACCCTTCAGCATCCCCGCACTCCAGCAGCTAGTGAACGAAGGTAAGTCTGACAAAGGAGCACCTCTCCTGGAAGCCTGGCTCCACGTGGTCCCCACTCTGCTGGGAACTGAGGCCACAGATTGGGGTGGTTGGTCAGAGAGGCCTCATTTGGGCATCTCTCTCCTACGTATCATTTCAGGCCTACCTATCTTGGGCTGCAAGTCAACAGCTGAAGGGTACTAGAAGTTGGGTTGAGATGGGAGAGGAGGGTCTGCCGAGAGGCCCATGCCTGAGGCTCCTGGAGGCCTGTGAGGTGTGAGTTTGTGTGTGGCCAGGCGCTGAGCAGGGCTGGGTAAAATGAAAGGGAGGCAACCAGCTCAGGGGCAAAACTGCCCTTAAGTGGACGGTAAATGCAGGGAAGAAGGAGAACTCCTTAGCGATCGGGGTACGGAGGCCCCGGGAGCTCAGAGCAGCAGGGACCAGGCCTCGTGGTGCCCTGGCCACGCCCTGCTCTGAGAGCTGGGGACGGCTGCCTTCAGCCCCCTGTGCAGAGTGCTTATGGAGCAATTACTTCCCTCTCTGAGTTTTGCTTTCCTCAACTATAATTAAGCGTTGAGCTAAAAGGTCCTCCTTGTCTCTAGATTCCCCTTTTCTACGAATTCTCTTAGAGAGCGGTTAAGATGCTCCTTGTTAGCCTTTTAAAATTGTTAGAAATTCATTGAATAAGTCAAAAATCCTTACAACAGTACTTATCACGTGCTGATTCTTGTGTGTGTATATACATATTGTGTGTATATACATATTTATGTGTGTAAGTATGTGTGTTTGTCTGTATGGATTCTTATATATTCATTTAATGCTTCCAGTGACCTTAAGAAAAGGACAAAGAAGCTAAGCAACTTGCTCAGACTCACGCAGCTGGTTAATGGTTTAGCCAAGACTAAACTCCCAGGAAATCTGGTTCCATATTCTACAATTTTTGCTGTGGCAGTGGATTGCTTTTTGTTCTCCTTCTCACTGTCTTTCTTTCTTACTCTCTACTTCTCTCTCCTCTTTCTCTCCCTTTTTACATCTTTGTTTTCTTCTACCTCTCTCCCTTTCTCTTCTCCCCTTTTCCTCCCTTCTATCTCCCATGTTTGTCTCAAAAAAAAAAACAACAACAACCTTGAAATGGCTTACAAACTGTAGCTACAATTTATACAGACACACACACATGCATACCCACACCTTAAATCAGTGAAGCCACCCGGGCAAGGTCAAAGCGGGGTGGGTGTGAACAAGGCAGGAGGTTCTCCCAGTAAGGCTCCAGCCTTCCTCACTTCTGTGTCTTTCTGCTTCCAGCGCACATCCGGCCCAGAATGTCTCAGCAGAAGCAGAAGCAGTGTGCTCCCCCACAGCTGTGCTGCCCCCCACCGAAGCAGTGCTGCCCCCCGCCCCAGCCGTGCTGCCCCCCGCCCCAGCTGTGCTGCCCCCCACCAAAGCAGTGCTGCCCCCCACCCCAGCCGTGCTGCCCCCCACCGAAGCAGTGCTGCCCCCCACCAAGGCAGTGCTGCCCCCCACCCCAGCAGTGCTGTCCCCCACCAAAGCAGTGCTGTCCCCCACCCCAGCAGTCCTGCCCCCCACCAAAGCAGTGCTGCCCCCCACCAAAGCAGTGCTGCCCCCCACCAAAGCAGTGCTGAGCCCCGCCTCAGCAGACCCGGGAGCCTTGCCAGCCTCTACCCAACTGCAAGGAGTCCTATGCCCCCGAGTGCCAACAGAAACACTCACCCCTTCAGCAGTGCCAGACGTCCAATAAGAAATATGCCCAGGCATGAGGCCAAGGGCTAACCCACCAGGAGAACAGAGAGCATGGAGCCCACTCCCCTCTCTCAGTCAGCTGTCAGCCCCACTCACCCCCGGTTCCTGGAGGCAGCCACTCTTCGGGAAAAGGCGGCAACAACAGGACGGCAGCTTCCCGGATCTCAACCTCTTATTAATTAGCAGCTGCAATTTCCATCTCAGATGAGAATCTGGTTCTAAACCGACTATTCACCTTTGCTGACACGTATCTACATCACCCTGTCGGCTTCTTGGAAACTTGGGCAACATGCCCAGATGCTGTTTTCTAACACCCTTCATTTGCTGCTCCTGTTTTCCAAACAATTAAACACAGTTCTTCTGGCATTAATGTCTCAGTTCGATTATTTGTATTCTGTTTGCTAACCCAGAGCCCTAGAAGGGCTAGGTATGTGGGTGCAGGTGGAGGAGAAGGTATGGGGAGATACACTTCTGAGCTGAGAAACATTTACTGTGGTCCTGCCAAGGTGAGGAGAAGAGATGGACACTTCTGCACCATGCAAACACATCCTCTATCCATGGACAATGAGAACACCCCTTAGAAACAGGGGGATATGATGCCCATGTGCAAAAAAAAAAAATTCCTTATCCTTGTAAGGTGCAGAAAGAGTAAGGGAACCCTCAGCCAGGAACTACATAATAGAGAAGAGGATTGAAGCAAGTAAGTTGTAATTCAAAGAACACATTCCAAGGACTGGTGGGCCTGGAGTCTCAGTGATAAAGAATCCATATGCTAATGCAGGAGACACAGATTCAATCCCTGATTCAGTTGTAGAGTGACTGGGCCCGTGTGCCACAGCTACTGAGCCTGTGCTCTAGAGCCCTGGAGCTGCAGCTACTGAGCCATGAGAAGCAGCTACTGAAGCCTGCGCACCCTAGAGCCTGTGCTCAGCAGCAAGAGAAGCCACTGCAATGAGAGGCCAGCACACCAGGATTAGAGAGTAGCCCCCATCTGCCACAATTAGAGAACGCCTGCAAAGTAGCAAAGACACAACACAGCCAAAAATAAAGAAATATTATTTTTTAAAATGTGTTTAAAAAGTTCTCCAGAGTAAAAGAAAAGATCAAAGTTTCTTCAAGCTAGCCAAATGCATAATTAGGATATCTACTCCCAATATTTATTAAAATTGTAGCCCCCATTGTTTACCCCATGGGGATTCTCCTGGGCTATTTTTCTCTCACTGCCCTCCTACTTTCAGTTTCCTAAATTCTTAGGGTATGCAGATAGTCTGGTAATTCAGACCCCCAGGTAATCCAAACTTCTTGTTTCTACTGCGTTCACTATCCCCATACCTTCCCATCAAATCCTTCTCTCACAAAATAGTCCATTAATAGGAGTATTTGAATCTCTGTTCTCATACCTACCTCCCCTTTCATGACAGGGGAGTCACTGAGAACTAATAGAAGTACCCAAAAGGAGCCAGAAAGGAAAATAACATAAACTAAAAGTCTGATCCCAAACATATTCTGTAGAATTCAGAATTAGCTGAAGACTGAAGCTCTAGCTTTGCTTCCCTGGTTGACTTGTCTCTTCCTCTATTGTTCCTTTCCATGCCTTTCAGCTATGTTCCATCCATCCACCAATTCATCCATCACCAATCCATCTATCCCGTCCATCGATCCCATCAGCGGCTCTTTGGTAAGCACCTCCCATCTCATTTGCATAGCATGTAATAGGTGCTGTGAAAATATAGACGCACACACCCAGGCTTCAGATTTCTTGGTTTGATAATCCCTGTAAGAAGACCAAGCTGAGATCCTCAAGATAACAAAGAACAATTAGATGAGATGGATTCTTTCTAAAAGATAACTTGGAAGCTACAGATACATCATTTATGTCTTTGGAATTCAGACGAAACAGAATACCCAGGGCTGATGCAGGAAGGAAGGAGAACTTGGTCATCTCTGTCATCATGGCATCCACCACAGGGCTCCCAGAAAATGTTTGTTCCATGAGGAACACCAGTAGAAGGGGCTTCAGAATGGGATTTGGGTAGGCAGGGAGGAGCCGTTCCAGAATCAGGTACAGCATGAGCCAATGGTGAGAGTCCAGATGTATCCAGACCAGCCCTCCCGGGTCTCAGCCCTGGTCCATGGTGGACCGCACCAACTGAACACCACAGAAATCTGGAGAGTGACTCCAGTGTAAACAATTCCCCCAGAGAGCTGCATTCAACAGATTTCAAGTATGACACACAAAAGCATTGAAAAGCTGTATAAACCTTAGAAGAACCCCCTGAAAATAAATGATGAGCAATTTTAGACATTTCCCCATAGGGAGATATGTTATTCAGCAGAGCCTCCATATATCTACTCTCGTGATTCTCATACATGACCTTCCCCCAAATCTCTCGTTTGGGTTTTTACTTCTCTTTCCTCATTCCATCTCACTCAGCAGCTTAACAGAAGGTTTATTTTGCCTCTTTGGGCTCCACGAATGATCATAATCAGCATGTGTACACATGTACTTATGTGCGGACCACTTTACAGATTTTCTGTTATCTCCGGCATACTGGTTTTGGATCCCAGATCCACCCTTACACTACTCCAGGTCTCACTTTTCTCATCTGAATAGTGGAGAGAATAATACCTGCCACCTGGGGTTGAAGGGGAGTGGTGTGCAATTTTTGTTGTTGTTGTTCAGTCCCTCAGTTGTGTCCCACCCTTTGCGACGCCATGGACTGCAGTATGCCAGGATTCCTGTCCTTCACCATCTCCCAGAGATTGCTCAAAGTCGTGTCCATTGAGTCGGTGATACCGTCCAACCATCTCATCCTCTGTCATCCCCTTCTCTTCATGCCTTCAATCTTTTCCAGCATCATGGTCTTTGCTGAGGAGTCAGCTCTTTGCATCAGTTAGCCAAAGCATTGGGGCTTCAGCTCAGCATTAACCCTTCCAATGAACACCCAGGACTGATCTTTAGGATGGACTGGTTGGATCTCCTTGCAATCCAAGGGACTCTCAAGAGTCTTCTCCAACACTACAGTTTAAAAGCATCAATTCTTTGGTGTTTAGCATTCTTTATGGTCCAGCTCTCACATCTATACATGACTACTGTAAAAACTATTGTTTTGACTATATGGACCTTTGTCAGCAAAGTAATGTCTCTGCTTTCTAATACGCTAAGTTGGTCTTAGCTTTCCTTCCAAGGAGCAAATATCTTGACTTCATGGCCGCAGTCACCATCTGCAGTGATTGTGGAGCCCAAGAAAATAAAGTCTCTCACTGTTTCCATTGTTTCCCCATCTATTTGCCATGAAGTGATGGGACCGGATGCCATGATCTTTGTTTTCTGAGTTTTAAGCCAGCTTTTTCACTCTCTCGCTTTCTTTAATAGTTCCTCTTCACTTCCTGCCACAAGGGTGGTGTCATCTCCATATCTGAGGTTATTGATATTTCTCCCAGCAATCTTGATTCCAGCTTGTGCTTCTTCCAGTCCAGCGTTTCTCATGATGTACTTTGCATATAAGTTAAATAAGCGGGGAAACAATATACAGCCTTGATGTACTCCTTTCTCGATTTGGAACCAGTCTGTTGTTTCATGTCTAGTTCTAACTGTTACTTCTTGACCTGCATATAGGTTTCACAGGAGGTAGGTAAGGTAGTCTGGTATTCTCATTTCTTTAAGAATTTTCCACATTTTGTTGTGATCCACACAGTCAAAGGCTTTAATGTAGTCAATGAAGCAGAAGTAGATGTTTTTGTGGAATCCTCTTTCTTCTTCTATGATCCAGTGGATGTTGGCAATTTAATCTCTGGTTCCTCTGCCTTTTCTAAATCCAACTTGAACATCTGGAAGTTCTCAGTTCATGTTCTGTTGAAACCTGGCTTGGAGAATTTTGAGCATTACTTTGCTAACATGTAAAGTGAGTGTAATTGTGTGGTAGTTTGAACATTCTTTGGCATTGCCTTTTATTGGGATTGGAATGAAAACTGAGCTTTTCCAGTCCTGTGGTCACTGATAAGTTTTCCAAATTTTCTGGCATATTGAGAGCAACATTTTAACAGCATCATCTTTTAGGATTTGAAATAGCTCATCTGAAATTTCATCATCATCACTAGCTTTGTTCATAGTGATGCTTCCTAAGGCTCACATGGCTTCACACTTCTGGCTTTAGATGAGTGATCTATCTACAGAGCCACACCATCGTGGCTATCTGGGTCATGAAGATTTTTTTTTGTATAGTTCTTCTGTGTATTCTTGCCACCTCTTCTTAATATTTACTGCTTCTGTTAGGTCCATATGGTTTCTGTTCTTTATTGTGCCCATCTTTGTATGAAATATTCCCTTCGCATCTCTAATTTTCTTGAAGAGATATCTAGTTCTTCCCATTCTATTGTTTTCCTCTTTCTTTGCATTGTTCATTTAGAAAAAGGTGTTAAATAAGACAATGTAAATAAATAATAAGTAGAATGTAAGCCAAACTAGGAGGTTTTTATATTTTCTATTTTATTAAACACTTAGAATAAATGTTATGTATTGCAGGGATTTCAAAAAGCATCATTTTATGTAAATTATGCTTTTCCTTTTCATCTGACTGGTATTTGCTGAATAGACTATGAGATTTGTGATAAAAAATTTGTGACAAAAAATCTAGAGTTGGAGATGTCTTTCCTGTGAGAAATATCAGGACCTAGACTTTGCTGAATCCATTCACTTTTTGGTTCCACATCAGCATTCACCAGTAGCTCACCTGTGTGTGATTTAAAAGCAGAGAAGGAAGTGATGACCCACCCCAGTATTCTTGCCTGAGAAATTGCATGAACAGAGGAACTTGGTGGGCTACAATCCGTGGGGTCACAAAGAGTTTCATACGACTTAGCAACTAAACAATCACCCATAGCAAGTGCTGGATGAATGTTATTGCTGCTTTTACTATTATTGTCCACTTTCTGAGTCAGCAGCAAGACCCTCCACTTATTTCTGCCAACCTGGGTACACAGGCCCCACCGCTGTAGTGAAACAAAGGTGTGAGGGTCAGGATACACCT